ATTTTTGAGTGCATTTTCTTGGTTTCTTTGGGTTTTTCAATATCTCAAATTGATTGCATTCTGACGAAAGACAGTTCTCGAATAAAGAGCACGATGTTAAAGAAGAAGATGTAAAAGATAACATTTAAAAGTGAAGAAAATCTCAAATTTCTCATGAACATATAAACAAAACACAAGAATCTTATGAACGAAATGTTTATTTACGTGTGAGGGAAACGAAAAGTTCTTTAAGTGCCACGAAAAAATAGTCATAAATACATTATCGTATGTCACATAAAAAGTCAAAAGACAACATAAAATTCTTCTATTTTTCACTGATATGGTTGTGGTTTATGCTTCAATAATTGTTATTACTATGGAGACTTGAATATTCATTTAAAGTTACTGATTACAGTATTCATGACATTTCCAGTTATCATCGTATTGAAACTATTTTTTATGCGGGGAACTATGATATAATTACAATGTAGCATGTTCATTGCTACGAGAGATGTCTAATTAAGTTGTACAGAAGCATGAAATTCCAGTTAGAATTCAATCTTCAATTTGATTAAATTATGCAGTTCAAGAATCGAGGCATACATAAAACATACAATCTGAACTGATAGTTAAGAAATCAAATTGAAATTGATTATTTTCATTTCTTTTCTCTTGATTAATAAATCAATGCACTGAGTATAAATACAAGGATAAGGAACTTGCTTTAATAGATTGTTTCATGTTTCTCAGCTTTAACTATAGAATGATTTGAAAGTTTTTTTTTCTACAGCATTTAGCATTGAATTTTTCCGGTAATTTATATTTAAAACGTGCGTTCTCATTGCAGTTTAATTATCAATTAATTATTACTAGCACAAAATGTTCCATGCTTCATCTAAGTACATATCAGAGTGCCTTGTTAGAAAAAGAACGTTACATATTGACAGGTGATAAGCATACTGCACAGCATGTTAAAATAGATCTACACTGCTGGAAGTTTAGATTATTTTTGAAAAATTTGATGCGTGATATCATGCAGAGATTAGATCTTCTTCTATATTTATATAGCTGGTCTACAACTTGATATTGTTAATAAAACTTTTTATTGATGTAATAAAATTAATCTAACTGTTTTAATGATTCGAATTCAAAGCTGATTATTGTACGTGAGATGGTCCATAAAAAAGGGACTGAAATAATATTCAACTGAAAATCGCTTCAAACTGTTTAAATGACGTTAATTTTATATTATTTAAATTTTACTAATGTTAAGATCAATAGCATGATACTCGAATAGGTTCTGAAAATTTTCTAGGTTAAATAAGATAGATTTTAAAGAATTCTTAGAAACATCTACGCAGCTAGGCATTTACATTCGCAAATTGATTACAATTATTATTTTAAGCTCTAAAACTGGTTTTATTTCATCTCAGAACCAAAAACTGAAAAAAACAACGATTTATTACATTTGAATTAAGTTAAATCCGAGCACATTTTTCATAGAGACTATCACACCCTTGACAAGAATCTCTCATATTATTAGGTATTCTAAATGCGTATTATAAGAACTGATTGTCACAGAGTCTAAATGAATACAACAATTAATCATTTTTTTCTACATTTTATTTCAAATGGTACACAGGAAGCCTGTGATTGTCCAAATACAATTCATTCCAGAACAAAACATTTCAGAACGAAAATTGAAATGTTTTTCGAAAATGATCATAATTCATTAGATAAATAAAGGTAAATAATAAGGGACTGAGAAATAAATAATTTAAGAAGGAAGATCAATTTTTTTTTGACACTGCAAGAGATCTCTCAATTCACCTTCAGTTCCTCTCTTTGTTTGTTTTCATCTCTTATGTTTTTGTTATAAAAATTATTTCTGTACTTAATTGAAAAAGATCTTCATTTTTCCTCGATTGTCAAATGGATGAATGATTTTAAGAGAATAAAGTAAATGTAAACAATGACTAAAGATGCACAGCAGTTAGTTATTTGAAAGACTCAATAAATTGTGTTGATCGTCTTTTAATAAAATGGAAAATGATTAAAAAAATTTACGACATTTGAAAGAAGATAAATAATTTAATATTGACATTTCTATCAATTCTGGATAGAAATTGAGGAAATTGAACTGAATGATTATTACTCAATTTACCTTCATATTTAACCTAAAATTAAGGTTTATTTTCTTATTTTAAGGCAAAGATTTTATGCTCAACTAATTTTGTCCATCAATTGTTGAATAATTAATTTTAAAAGTAATCACTTAAATGATAAAACTAATGTTTGGTCATGTCTCAATAAATAAAAACAAAATAATGTATAGACATTGAAGTCAAAGATTTGCTGAATTTATCAACAATATGTCAAGATCAAAGTTGCGTGTTTACTTTATCGGCACGTTTACGATTGAAAGCAGGAGATAAATGAAGATAAATATGAGAAAACAGCATGATCAATTAGAAACCTCTTCTGTGAATAAAATTGACCCATTTGAAGATGATTCTCATGCTAAGAAGCAATTGAAGGTAATTATGGAAAAAAAACACCAATGCAAAGAAACTTTATTTCTATTTAAAATTTTAAAAATGAGTGAGTGGAAATATGTAAAATATTTGCAAGCCTATTACTTTGAAATTTATTCATACACAAAAAATTAAAGCTTAATTTTGATTTACAAAATCGCAAATCCATATAATTTACTGAAAACTCTTTGATGAAATCACATATTAAATATTGCAGCAAATCAATTTCACACTTTTAGTTTTACAAGACTTATTCAAAATCGGTTTTAAATTATTTTGTAACTTTTTGATTTGTTAAATGAAAATATTAATTTAATTTATGTACCAAGTCATGTGTTTTGAGCTTGAACTTTGAAGTTTTTAAATGACATTAATAATATTGAAAATTAATTTTAATGAAATAATTGTTATGAATTAATCCTACTCTAAGATTTATAACAGCGTACTATGGGTCCTCGATTTGAATAGGATTTTTCTGGAACAAAACACCTACTCAAATCGAGGACCCCAGTACTAAAGCTTAAAAGTTGATTTGTTTTGAAAATTGTTGATATTTTAGATCAGTGCTGTCCAAACTGTGTGCCGCGGCATACTGGTTTGCCGGAGAAATTTTTTGTAAATGACGCGAGCCGTATGCTGTGTGCGACTTTGGTAATAGCTTGCCCCTAAAGTATGCCGTGGCTCAAAAAAGTTTGGACAACACTGTTTTAGATAATTGTTGTACTAAGGTAGAGTATCATTAACTTCCTTTGAATGTCTTTGCCCACATATTCCCATATATCAAAAAATAATTATTAAACAAATTATTCATGTCTCAATCTAGATTTTCAAATTCTCAAACAAGTTTCTCATCTGATAAATAATTTGGAAGTGATTGACATAAATCATCTGACTAGTCAAAGTTCCATGTTTTTTACTTCAAAGACAAATGATTTCCATATCTACAAATTTTTCCAAAGAATTGAGAGTGAAAAATAAATTCACACAACCGAGACAAGCAGTTCAAGTGAACCACTTAGAAAATCTATAATGTCAACAGATAGAAGAAATAAATATTAGAAATTGAGATCATAAAATGCATTCACAAAGGAAAAAGACACAAAAAAAAAGAAGATGCATGAAAAGAGAATGAAGAGAGCCCTCCTGCAGTCATTTGGTCCTCATGCAGCAATGAATCACATGTGAAATGAGAAGTAAGAATTATGAAGAAGAAAAACAAGTTTCATGTGTACAATTTTGACAAGGATTTATTCTCAACTGACTGAGTTTTTCTTTCTTTATGATCATTACTTCTCAACATGTGTGCTATAAATGGACGAGAAATTTATTTTTCTATGTGAAAGTTTCAATTCCTTTCGATTTTCTTTCGTTTGGATCAGTTTAACCCCCTACGCATTCATAAATTTGACCCCGAAAAAAACAGCTTCACTTTCCCATACAAACTTTTTGTGGATTTTGACTGTTGTGCTATAATAAACATATTTCGTGAGTAATTAATGGCTACAATGCGTGCGATGTGTATGAGACGGGACTTTAATGAACGATAAGTATAAAACCGATTGATGATTATTTTTTCTTCTTTTTCGATTTTCTTTTAATACCATTTATCGTAAGTAGCATTTAGGGATAAAGTTTTTATGACTCGTTCTGGTTTATGTCGGATTAGTTTTTCTTCAGATTAAAATACAATTGAGATGTTGTAAATGAGATTTCTTTTGTGTGACGATTTTAAAAGTAATCAGAAGCTAAAATGCATTTTTTTTGTGATCTAAAGCTAGTTTGTATAATTGTTCAATGGATTAGGATATGAATTTTGTTCAGTTATTACAAACAGTTTGCATGACATGGGTATGTTACCCATTTTGAATTTTAATATTCTAAGAAATCACAAACTAGTTACTAAACATTTGAGGCGTTTGGATATATTTGTGTAATGGAATTAAAGATTCTGTGATTCGTAATTTTCAGTGCAGTGGCAAAACCAAAGGTTCAAAAGTCCGAGGCTAAAACTTAACATCAGTAATAAATTTTAACTTAGTTGCTTTAAATCAAGTCTGTATGCTTTCCTATTTTTCATCAATAATGTGACTCATTCACTTAACTGACAAATCTACAATTTTGGCAAATATTATTTATTCCTAATTTAAATATTCATCACTAGAAGTGATGTCAATGAATCTAAGAATTTTAAAACAATTCACAATACTGAAGGGTCCTCGATTTGAGTAACGAAAATTAATAGAAAATTTAAAAAAAAATTTGGAACGGACATTTTTCAAACAAAAAGTAAATAATTTGATTTGAGGAGATTCGATTTGAATAGGTTTTTTTTGGAACAAAACACCAACTCAAATCGAGGACCCCCCAGTATGGAGTTATGAATACCCAATTCTCATAGAAAACAGCACTTCCAAATTGACCTCACGATCATTAACAGGTTAATCTATGATTATTTGGAAAGAGACATTTGAAATTTATTTCACTTACTCGAATATAATGATGCACATATAACAAGTTGTGTTGACAACGTTATTATAGTCCAATGTAGCAACATTAATCTTTGTAATGGCATTATATCCAACATTGTTTCTCAACTCCTTTAAATTCACAATTTTTTTTTCTTATTTTCACTTTTTTCTAATTTGATATTTCACGATTTTGTGGCTCTTCTTCTCTTGTGTTTGTGGAATTAATTTTCCATCACTAAAATTTCGTCACTTTTATTTTATATGCAGCTATGTATTTATTTTAACAAAATAATTGCTTCTTTTTCCTTTTTTTTTTGCAATTTATAAGCTTACTTTATTTTCACTTTCTATGTTAAATTTGTTGCAAAACTGAATTTTCTAGCCAAACATGAACTTATATCCAAAATTTGTGCAGTATTTGTTACACTTTATCAAAATTTCAAACTTTATTTAATCCTCAATATTTATTATATCCTCAACGATCAGTGTCAAGAGACAAATATTTTTTTGACCATTTACAATACCGAAAAATCTTTACTAAAGACTCGATCACAGAGCGATCTACACATTACAAAGTATTTGAAATAACTGAACAACAGACATATAACATAAAAGAAGCATGTAGGAATGAAAAATAAAATGAGAGAGATCAGCTACGATCACTCATACAAGCAAAGAAAAATCACATGCAATGGGAGTAAATATTGTGTTAGAGAGAATTTCATGCTTACTTCCAATATTGGAAGTCTGTAAAGTATTATATTTGAAGTTTTTTTTTCTAACTATTTGCTAGTAACACCAACATTATTATAAACGCATTTATAATGCTGATGATGATCAGAAAACATCTGTTAATTGAACCATCACAAAATTGCTTTTTCTCTCTTTTTACTTATACCTTTTAGCATATTTTTACTGAACTCGGCTGGAGGTGGAATGAATGTATTGGTCAGTTTGGTGCCAGCTAAGATAAAGTTCCTGAAATATTACATCAATAAATTTAAACATTTTGAAATACTTGTTCAATAAACCAGGACTACAACAAGTACTTAGTGCTCTTAACAGGGCTTTTGCCAGCAAAAACAGGCTCAAATTTGATTTTTGCCTTCCTTAAAAAAATGTAACACTCTGATTATAAATTAAAATCTAGCTGCGCTTCATAAACACCACTCAATACCAAATACTAATTCACACTTTTCCATTATTGTGTCGATGTTCTCTTAATGGATGATGCATAAGGTCTTATTGCTTTGTACTGATCTATTTTCATTTCATTTTACTTTCTACGCTATTTATCTTGCATAAAAAATTTGGTAATTTGAGAACTTTTTTTTAAAAATCTACATTATTCATGCCTTAATACTCAATTCTTAAGGGATCTTTTTACATAAGGAAAAGAAATGAATCTTACCTTATAGCCATGAATGTTTGTTCCAGTTTAATGTTACACACACTTCTTGATCATCATCTTCATTTTCATCTTCTCGTTTCTTTATTGAACAATTTATTGTGAGTCATGCGACACAATTGAAATTAACTTAATTCCTAGTTTTGTTCATGCATGATTCAACGCATGATCATTTGAGATTTATTGCCAATTTTATCTCACTGCGTGGTTGCTATGACTTTGTACTCTCTTTCTCAATGAACAGATTTGACTGTCTTTCTTTGTTATGAGAGCAAAAACGCAAAATTTAGAGTCATTGCCTGTGTTCTAGCTAAGTTATCGTCTTCTAGACATTGATAAAATTAAAACCAATTTACTGAGAGATTCCCGAATAATTTGCAGATTTTATCAGTGACTCAAAATATTTTCGACAAATAAAATTAAATCACGTGACGTCAGTTGAGTCACAATCATCTTCTGAATTATGTAGAAATTAGTTGTATTTAATTTTTCGTCATCCATTCATAAAAATGTATTAAGTCAAGTACTATAGCACCTAAGAGAATGCCCCTAGAGCTATAGGTTGACAACAATTAATTTTAAATTGTATCTCTTTATGGTGTTACTGTTATTCTGTCTATAACCAGTAAATTACCAAACGATTCATCAAACTAGCAAATGAGTTCAAGGTGTTGCTTGAAAATTTTGACCTAAAATCTTGTAAGACATTAAATGTTAACTTTCTGATTGAAAATAATTTATAAATTAAAAGAGATGGAAATTGGTCATAATTGAGCAGAAGCGTGTAAGGTGTTAGTAAAACATCGTAACTTTGATTGAGAGCAGAAGAGTAATAGAAATAATATTGTAATTTTTGGAAGCATGATCAATATGATATAAAGGCCATTTCAATCATATCAGAAGGAATCGTGAGCATAGAAAGTGATCAATTGTAATTGATGCTGGTTATGAACTTTTGAAATCAATATCGTTCGTGATCAGTGAAAATTGATTAAGAAGTTATGGCCAGAAGATTATTTTGATAAATTACAAACTTAAGTAAGGTTTTGTTAAGTCATCATCAAATCCTAGACAATTTATAGTCTCCAGGTTCTTGATGTACATACATAATTCATCACAAAATGCTCGAATTTCTGTTGATAGAAACTCAACTGTCAAAAAATTCCAGACAGAAATTCAATACGATTGTCTAACAGCTATTTAACATCCATAATTGATGTATCAGTGAGTACCAGGTCTATCAGATTGATGAGTTTTTGTCATGGCACTCAAAACAGACAAAAACGTCTCAACTTTCTTATGATTCATTTCTCATCAATCGCAATTGAAGAAATGTTTGATAGACAAGAGGATTATTTCTATCATGAAGCTGTGCAGCATTAAAAATGCATTAAATGAATCAATATTTTTTGAAAAATACATCAAGCTACCTAAATCTCTTCTCGATTTCAATCTGTTGAGATTTCTAATTAATGGGAAAAAATAATAAAGTGGAACAAACGTTGAAAATTAAAACCGCAACTAGTCAAGAAGAGGAAGGTATAGAGGAGAATTCATTAACTGGTATTAAAATGATGATCCTTTCTAATTAAAACAGGGTTGGTGGTAGCTACTAAATGGAAATTTGATGAATTAATAAAACAGGAGTTTATAAAAATCTATGAGTAACTGGAACTGTAGCTTCCTATGAGTCGGTCTCAACAGTTTCTGCAAACTAAGATTGAACTTTCTCAAAGTATCCTAATATCGATCCAAATATCATTAGCTGTCGCTAGATGTGGAATTCAAAATTATTTACTATCTTAAAATTGTTGAAGGTTTAAGTTGAACTGGCATGAAATCCAGGACCAAAGTAAAATTAGACTCAACTTCCAACTCGGATTGATATTTTTTACATCTTCTGCATTTGATAAAACCTCAACATAAAAAATCTATTTGATCCTTTAATGAACCTTCTTCAACTTACTCTTCTTTTCCTTCACCCTCTTAATCCATCTTATTCATTGCCTTTCCCACAAATGAAAAGCCCAAATTCGATCAAATTTGTTACTTACATTAGAATTATAAATATTTTATTGTGCTATCCCTCATCACTCATCATACCTCTGTATGCTGTTACTACATCCCCCTTTTTTCACTCAACACGGTTGAAAATGTGTTTCAAAAGAAATTTAAAAGATATTCTTCGGATTCGCTTTAATTTTACAGTAATTTCACAATGTATGGATATTCTTTTATGTTCATATTTTTCTTTACATTGATTCTCAATCGTATGTGTGCAGTTATTGCCTTTTTATCCTCTTTCATCTTCTCATTCTACTCCTTCGTGCATCACAACAATGGATTGGAAACATACCTGAATCATCTACACTGCTGGTGTGTAAAATTTGTATATCCTTTTTGAAAAGTAGATAAAAATCTTCATGGTACATGAAAACCAGTTCGAAAGTCATTTATCGTGCAAAATTTTGAACAAAAACGCAATTTTTGGATCATACATAGATGATTTTGACTACTTATATCATTTTGGACTCAAAAAATAAAAGTATTAGATAGGGATCGATATTTTAATTCTTATCTCATACAAAATGATTCTTAAGACACTATCTCTCTCACTCAAGGCGTGGAAACTATCCCAAATATCCCATATATCCCAAAAATATTCAAAATAATCCCTGAGTCTGTATGCATTAGAATTGAGATATCCCATCATATCCTGAAATTACACGTCCAATGCACTAAGGATACATTGGGATATCTTTATTATCGTGCATACATGCTCAGGAATATGATATTTGGGATAGTTTCCACGCCATGCTCTACCTTCTTGTCACTAATTTTTCATAAACCTACCGAAAAATTATTTTTGTGACTTTATATCTAGACAGTCAGGTTGCTTTAACGTTGATTCATTTTGACCAACTGTAAATTCACAAAGCACTTTTACAAGAAAGGAACCAAAAAGTTTTCATTTCTTTCATATCTTTTCGCAAACAGACAAATATCCATCAATAACAATCGATAATCTGAAAAAATTTAACTAAAATGCTTTGAAATGAAATTGTAAAAAATACAAAAATACTTTGTACTTGACAAAAACAGTAAAAGTAGAAGAAGTTGAAATAGAAGAGACATTAAATCGGATACGACAAATACGAGAAACGTGTCGATCGAGATATAAGGGATGTTTCGTGCGCAATATGAAAGTTTTTGTGCTTGGAAAAATATAAACAAATTTTTGTTTTTTTACATGGGGGTTCTTCCTGAATTCTTAGGTGGGCATTGCTATGAATTTCTCGGGTTAATTGGTTATGAGAAGCAAACAAAGGTAATTTTAAGTGCAATTTGTTGTCAATTAGCAACATGAGATTTTTATGGGAACCAAAGCTTTTCAAGAATAATCATACTTTATGACTGAACTACACATGTGATTGCTTAATAAGCTATTTCTATACTGAGCAAAAATTTATTGCATCAATTAGAAAAATATTTATTTTGTGTTTGATTTTATTACAATTATCAAGAATTTAATGTGACTTCTATCACTAAAGCGTTCATGTTCACAACCAGTATACAAGATGATGTCATTCTAATATGTAATGCCAACTTTACTGTAATTCAGGATCAAATCCGTATGCCCACATCTACAGAAAACATATTGAATTTTAATATTTATCTTCTGAATATTTTATCAGTTCCAAAATGTTTACCATTAGTTTCTGTTTATCATTGACGTGATCACAAAATAGAGTTCCAGCACAACAACAACAGTTGATAAATTTATTTTCTTCAGAATTATTATTTTTTTGAAGCAAATGTTTATAATTCATTCAAAAATCAATTCTGTCATCAAATACAATCCCTTTTATGTCCATAATTATCATCATACTCCCTAAGTTGCTTTAAAATCATCAATCATTTTTTATTTTCAATCAAAATTGTTATTTTGATGACTTTGTAAAGAAATAGATTTCATTCTGCTTAATTCAATTCATTTTTTTATTCGTCGAAGGAAGTTTAATACATGAGATTGGAAATGGAATTGATTAACAATTTTCTTTTACGAATATTACCACAGTCATTTGGTACACGAAGAGACAAGATTTAACAGATGTCCCAATCTTAGATGCGAATGTAAATAAAGAATCGTGACTTTTGAGTAGGCAACGTTTCATAATAAAAGAAGTTTGATGAAGACATGGGTTTGGAAATAAATTTTTTTGTAAGGTTTTGATGGATTATATCAGACAGAAAGAATTGCTTGTTGTTTTTTCTAAATGACCTTGAAAATTTTAATGTTTCCTTTCTTACAGCTTTAATTTTTTTTGATGATCCTCTAAAACTAAATCTTTGAAAACCTACATGAACTAAACTTGACATAATAAGATTATATAACATCAATTGTCAAAGTAAATCGTATCTCCTTCCAGTCGTTAAATGTTTTTTGCAATTTATAAGCAGTTCAAGTGCCATTGACATGATTTCATCTCTTGTCATCTTAAAATCTTCAATCATGATTGCCAATTTGTTTGGATAGCTAATTGAAATTTAATTTTGCCTAATTTTGATCATGTTTGAAGTTAATATAACATTACGTAGATAGCTTTAGATTTGGCACGAATTTTATACTTTTGTCACTTAAATTCATATGATCAAATTTTTCCATTTTTGCTCCAAAAAAGATCATAAAACTTAATTTAAAGCATATTTTGCAGTTGCGGTACCTAATAATTGCAATCCCGACACAGCGATCATGGCTCGAGTCTGGGTATGAGAAATTTTTCATTTGTCCTTTTTCGAATAATATGTACTGGAAATGAAGCTCACAGCCTTCCTTTGTAGGCTACAGGCTGAAATGTAAGCAAAGGAGTGGATCAGATCCAACTTTATGTAGGTCTAGGTTTGAGTGCAGTGGTTTAGCGCATCCTTACTCGTTAAACTCTCATTTTCTGCCAAACGCCCTAGCGTACCTCTGGATCACAATTGATCTGAATAGGTAAAGGTTTTTTTTGCAGTAAGTTTAACAAAAATGTTTGGAACACACAGTCTTAAAATATATGAAATACAAATAAAATTACCAATCTCTACATTTCATACTTTGTTATGAGAAGTTTACAATCGTATAAAGTTAAACAATTAAAGTTTAATGTCATAGAAATGCCACAGATCACATGTTTAACATAAAAGCAATGATAATCGATTGTTCTACTTAGTTGTTCAATTAAAATTCTCTTCTTATCTTTTTTTAAACTCTATATAAATTTTATAAATTTTATAATTATAACTTTTTATTCCTAATGTAATTAGGCATAAAACTAACACTTAAACGTGATATATTTGGTGGAGAAGCACTAGAAATACCTCAATACGTTTCTTAAATATTGACCATTTAATCAATTTAAATCATTTAATCTTAAAATAAAACTAATAATATTTCTACGATATCTGTCCATTAGCTCCTTGTATAGAAGACTTTGTCTGCACCATTAAAGCTGGTATAGTAATTCCATCTACAGTAATGATTGAATCAGAATCAAAGTCTCCTAACAATCTATTGACTGACAGTTCACTATTAAAATCATGAGATTCACTTTCGTCACTGTATGCTTCATCAACAGGAATATTTTGATAAATATTGACAATTAATACAATAAATAGTATTTCAATAACCATAAGACACAACAGTCCAATAATCACTAAAATTTTAAAATACCACTGCTCTGCAACTTTGTTGACTGCGAAGAAAATGTCAAGTGAGAAAAATATTTGATGAAAAACAGCCATTCCTTTCAAACATAGCCAAAATATAATGAAATTTGCTTTCTGTCTTCCAGTTCGTTTGATAAGCAACAGTATCGAACAAATAAGTCCTAAAGTTCCGATAACACTCATCAATACCGAGTGAATGAAAACTGCAAAATAATAAAATATTTATTGATTAATTGATAACCAAGAGTTTTATAAAGAAAGCTGTAAACATTTTGGGACCGTTCACTTATTACGTTACGCAAAAAAACGAATTTTTTCACCCCCCCCCCCCTGAACGTTCATAACAAATTTTTTTCGTGAACTTTTTTTAAAAGACAGACGAACTTCTTGACACCCCCCCCCCCCCCCCTATGTTACATTTTGCAACAATTTTTCAAACCCCCCCTCCCTCCTAAAATGCGAACGTAATAAGTGAACGGCCCCTTTATCAATAAATGAATACTTTACTTTTAGGTCACTTATAATCTTTGATATAAATTTTGCAATAAAAAAAGGTCGTGATCTCAAAAAAAATTTTTTGAATCCCAATTTTTAACATTTTAATTTTAATTCAGCTTTGAACATTTCACTTGTGATTGATTATTAACTCACCTCTTTTTAATATACTATGCCGATTTTCAAACTCTTCTATTATAATATCCGTAAGTGCAAATGAAATTTTTAATCCATCAACAATTATAGTCAAACAGGCAACTAATTGCAGTTGATCAAGATTTCTACAAAACGTTATTGTCATTTTTTTAATTTTATAAAAATATATTTTATTTTAAAATGTTCTTTATTGACGGATTTGAATCAACTGGATGTTCTTCTCTAGTCTATTTAAGTAGCATAGTGTTCTCATCAGAAACACGCTCTTCCTCTCTTGAGAATGAGCATCATATGGTGCAATAATCATTAAAATTGTTACGCATAATCATTAAAAATGCAAAATTCTCTCTAATAAAACTGAGAGAGTTAAATTCAGATTATTTAAATATTCAGCATCTAATTAAAGTACATTAAAGTCATATAAAACTTAATTTTTTCGATTGTTTTAATTTGAAAATATAGGATAACGATTTTATTTTACTTTTCATTTAAAATCATATTAACGATAGGTATTTAAGGACTTACTATTGACAGTAAATGCTTCTTATAAACTGTGTGCTTAAGTTCTGAATTTTAACAATTAGAATTATTAGTATTTGATGCTGCCATAGAAGCAGCAAGTGCTATCGGATCTGTGCATATAATAGAAGTTTGTGATCCAGCATTGCCAAATAGTTCAGTAATAGACAGTTGTGCCAAGTAATTTGGTCTTGTTGCTACTGACTGGTCTTCGATTGACTCAGCACTTTGATAATATTTCACAATAAAAATTATGAGAACAATTTCAATAATTACAAGAGTTAATAATGCTAAAATCACAACAATTCGTGTTGTTGACGAATCTGTTTTTTCAGTTACGGCAAGAATGATATCAAGTGCGAAAAATATTTGATGAAAAACTCCAATTCCTTTTTGACAAAGCCAAAAAATGATGATATTAGTTCTTTGTTCTTGAAATCTTTTAATGAATAATAAAATTGAGCAGATAATTCCAAGCAATCCGAGTATGCACAACAGTATTGAATGAATGTACACTAGAATATTAAGTGAAAGTTTATAATTATCAATTAAAAAATATTTTTAAATAAAAATCGAGATCAATTAAAGACGTTGAACTTAAATTGCTGATAATTTACTCAAATCTTCTATTTTGAAATTGATTTGATTTGACGCTTATCAGCATTTTCAACAGTTAATGCCAAGAAACTGATTGAAATATTATCACAAATTATCCTCGCAATCTATTAAGTAAATTTCAATCTAATATGTAATCACCTCGTTTCATCACACTATCCAAATATTGCAAATGTCCTGTAAATAAGTCAGCAACAGCAATACCTAACTTTGTGCCATCAATAATTATGGTAAAAAGGGCGATTATTTGAGGTTTATCTAATTTTTTTACGAACATTTCAGGCATCTTTTATTTTTTTTTAACTGTAATCGACTATAATTAATTGTTTGTTTGATTTTATGCTTAGCAATTTTCTCACTTAGACGCTTTGAGTTTTCACTTAGAACTGCCATACTTACACACGGCGAGTTTGTTTAAAAGTGATGTTTATTTCTCTCAAATCTAAGCAAATGTGACAACTTATTTTCAACTTCCGTTCAATTGGCTTTATAAATCTAATACATTAGTTATAAATATGTATGCAAAATTCACCGGTATTATTTTAAAACATGAATATAAAAATATGATTGTGTACGAAAATATGGTTTAATTATATTTTTTTCTCAATTATTTCAAAGATAGTAGACTTTACAATTTAGTAGAATAATACAATTTTTGTTTTCATCTCATTAATTTCAATCGTTTGAAATATCGATGTTACATTTGCATTCTGTAAATGAAGTTTTTTATTAGTAATGCATTGCCAATTCAATGTAATGTCTCAATTTTGATACACAATCAATAAATTACAAGCTAACGTTACTTCAATAATTTAATAGGAAATATCTGATAGCAAATTTAATTAGCAAACGATGAAATTTAAATATTTAATAATTCAGTAGATTTATGAATAAAAAAGATGTTAAGAAAAAAAAAAAAGAAGTAGTGTTAAGTTTCTGAGGGCACATGGTTGTTCTAAACTATAGTTGAATCATCGGAACCGACATACTATAATCCAATATTTTCTATTGAACTTCATTCAATTGATTTAATTTATTTGCAATCACGGAAACACAATTGAATACGCATTCCTAGGTTAAAATAAAATTTTATGAACCAATTTATTCACTTTCTTTATCGAAGCTGGTAAATTTATATTTATCTAATATTGCGAATTGATTTTAAAAAAATTATGTCAGCTTCATTTGATATTTTTCCACAAGTTCAAATTGATTTGAAAAAAAAAACAGTACATTTTTATTTTTGCATGCTTATTATAAGTTGGTTGGATCTTAATCTTAAATGTAGCAAATAATTCTGTTCAATTCAAGATCCATACACACTTCTTATTCCACAAAAATTGAACAACAAAGAATCCAAAATAAGTTCCATATTGTAAATCTGGAAATGATGAAATTTTTTCTTTTCTTTTTTCTTTCGTTTTGATTTTGATAGTGAAAATGAAATGAAATCAATTTTACACTTTGGTGAGTTTGTTCGTCATCAATCATCTCACGGTAGGTTTTCTTAATGGAAAAATTGCTTCACTTTCATTTAATCTTAAAATTGATTTCCGCCATCATTTGGAAGTAAATGAGCTTGTAAATTTAATTTAAATTCAAGATTGTTGATGGATAATAAAAGATTAAGTTCCTCAGAATTCTTATCTCCTCATTAATCACAAAAAATGCAATAAACCATTGAGTAAGTGTTGTTATATTTCAAGCTCAAAATTAGACGATTTTAAGAAGTCTTTCATGATTGTTTAAAATGATTTTGAATATCTATATTAGGCTCTATCAATGGGAATGAGCATCTGTACAGGAAAATTTTTTTATCATTTTTCAATAGCGCCAAATTTAAAAAAAAATTATTTCTCAATAAAATTTTGTGTTTGTACTGTAACAAATGTAGGAATTCAATGCTATGTCATTTTTTGTTCCATTCATATTTAAAATATTGTCAATAAAAATAAATTTATTTCAATGCAAATTTTTTTGTATTTTTGCTAAAATAAGATTAATGACCTCATTTCTAATTTCATTTTTAACTTATTTCCAGCAATAATACAATTTTGTTCAAGGATATATTGTTAATAGCCATATCAGTTATTGACGCAAAATATTTCAAGATCACACCTAGCATTATAATTTTTTTCCAAACCAAAATATCAATACGACGTAATTACATTGCAGATACATCCGTAGAGTCTTATGAAATTAAATTTCAGCACATCTTAAAACTGAAATTGAATAAAACTTTCATTAAAATGAAATTAACACACTAAAATTAAATTAAAGCTAGTTTTCACATAAAAAGTGAATTAAACAAAAGTATGAATGAACTTAATACCACTCGATACAGTAAACAGAACGAATGAGTAAGCAGTAAAGCATTCGGAGTAACCAGAATGTGAAAATTAAAATAATATTCTACCGTCAGCACGTTAACGAAGCGCAACAAGTGTCTTTCTTTACATGATTTCATAATTACCACAGAACCATCTTCTGGTTCGTTTTTATAATGAAATAAAAAGTTTAGATGCTTGAGCAATTTGATTTATAAATTTAATCGAAAAAGTGTCTTGAAAAAGCAAAATTATTAATTTGATCAAGCAGCAAAGGTCTTTAACATCAGAAACGAAACTGAATAGTGCAAAATCATCGACATAAATTTCATAACTTTTGTTGTAGCTATTAGTTCTAATCGAGTATCATAAAGACATAAAGTGATTTTGTGAGAATCAGATTAGAACAATGTGGTAAAAAGGTGTGAAAAATGACATGTGGGATTGTAAGAATATATCAAGATTTTTTATACGCTCATTAATTTAATACTTTCGAGAATAGATTTAAATTGCTCACTTCTGGTATATCCTACACTTTTATGTTTTTTCTAACAGACATTTCGTAAAGCTGTTTTTACAAGAAATTGACTTTCTCGGTCATGCTACATTCTAAATTGCTTGAGATTTTTCGTAGATTCAAACGATTTGATTTTGCGAGAAAGTTTACATGTACATGCCTAAAAAATGATTCAATTTCAATTTTCAGCTCAATTTAGAAATTTCTAATTTCTTGTTTTGTCTTGATTTTCTTAGTTTAAGCCTTTTGTTACTTTAAAATATAACTTGGATCAATTTAGATTTAAATTTTATTACTGATTCAAAAATTGCTACCAAATTGATATTGTGAATATTTGGTGAATATCATCCCAAATGTGGTCACGATACAATTACTTTTAATCAAAATATTAAGTAACAAGCCCAACTAAGCTCAAACTTAAGTTTCAAATGTTTCCGACAGTTTGTTATTTAAAACAATTCTCTGATGGGTCATTTTCTGTAGCTGCCGAATAATTTAATTGCTCAATTTAGAACGCATCTTTAAATTTTCAAAAAAAAGAAGCATTCTATACAGAAGAGTCAGTGTTTACTTGAAAACTTTGTAGATAAAAATGATCAACCACGTGTAATCTGAACTCAGAAAAAAAATCACTTTTCATTGTGCAAACTGGTGCAAACAATCTTATTTTCTACTAGTACACAGTTCAAGTAGTATAAATTCAGGCAAGTGCAATCAGAAAAGGAATTCTTTACATTTTCGCTTCGTTTAACCCACAAAATACACACATGCGAGAGAAAAAAGCATTTATAATGATGATAATGATGATTGTTGATGTTGATTTGAGTATAATCTGATTTTTGCTTCGTATTCTTCTTCTTCTGCTTAACTTTATCATCGCTTTTATGTTGGATTTACAAGACGAAACAAAAAAGGATGAAATTTAAAACTGCAACAAATAATGAACCGAGATCATTTTCATGGTGCCAAAAGCAAGAAATGAGAACAAAAAAATAACTGGTAAAGATGTTGTCGCCCGAGAATTACGAAAAAGAATTTTCTACGCAAATGTTGAACTTGAATTTTTAATAATTCAGATTTCACTTTTATTTTGTTAAATTTTATCATAGCAATATTTGAAATTTTAATCACAAAAAAAGAAATCTGAATTATTTAAAATAAAATTGCTTCAATAAAGATAAAGGATCTCCCTGAAGTGATAATGATCCATATTTTTGGAAATCTTCCTCCAAAGATGCTTAAAAGCTGTAATTTTAGTATGTAACAGGTATAAAGACTTTTTAATTTCATTCTTTTGCCAAAAATATCTCATTTTCATTTAATTCAAGGATGTGATCAGTCATATCAGTCATGGATGAATAGTCAGCAATTATGCAGAGTTGTTGATTAAATTTAAGCTAGTTTTGATTCCAACAGACAGTTCAACTGGAAAATTTGAGTATTTTCCAAAATGTTAACATGAATCAAGAAAAATTTTCTATTTCGTCCTCAATTGTCCACATTTTGACTGCAAGACTTTAAAATATTTTCAAATGTTATGGGAAGAAGATTTAGAATTGTATAAAAAAGTCGCATCACCACAATTTTTGAATCAAAAAAATAATCTTAAGGAATTTGATATCTTATCTACATTGAAGGTACTAAATATGTTTTTAAATGTTGTTGGTGATGTGGGTGCTAACAGCAAACCAATTGTGAATGACGTTCACTACAGATCTTACAAATAAAATAACATATTTTGGATTTAGAAAATACGTAGGTGCAGTCTCGCTCACTTGATGAGATCAAAAGGTTCATTAACAAGTTTGGAAATTTAAATCATCTTAACTTAGATACCTACTTTAATCAGGAAATTTATCTACTTAATTACAGAACTATAACAAAAATTGGATTGGAATCCTTGCATCTCGCTATTTTTTTGACTGAAATTTTGGATATGCCAAGAATTTATTTTCCAAATGTCAAAAAATTATCTGTGGCTTGTTTCGAATAAGATGATCGTGCAACAATGATGGAAGTGAACGTGTCTTCACAAAGGATGCAAAAACACTAGAGGAGTTATCTATTTGACACAATCACCACATTAACGGTTAATATGATTGCTTCTTTGGACACCAATGGATAAATGGTCCTTGCTTGGAACTTAAATCATGTTGCAAAAGTTAAAGGAACTACCAAATAAGTGCCCTAAATTCATCATATATATTCATGCTTCCCGACGATAAGACAATTTTTGATGAATTATTCGAACAAAGTCCATCAAAATCTTGTCAAGCTCCAAAATCTGCAGAAAATTGTGATTTTTTATTTTATGCAGCATCGTTAACATTAATATATTTTCGAATGCTATTTGCATATTTTTGGGCTTACAATAATAAGAAAAAGAGACGTCGAAAAGGATAACTTGATATAATGAAGGAGATGATACGGGGGATGATACGTAACACAATTTTTGGGTTAGCAATTTACATACAGATATTGTCAGAAATGCTCTGTAATGGTATGACTTCACCAATAGGTTGAGTGACATCATCATCGTACAGGAGAGGAGCAACGCAAAACTGAAAAAGAAAGGAGTCGAAGAGTAAAAAACAACCGATGCAAGCAAATAAATCAGAAGAAGGGTCTTGAGTAGCAGTACAACTTTTTAGGACAATCATTAAGGAAGAAACATCTCTTGCTCCAAGTTCTTCACCGCCATCTAATTCAGGAGTTTAGTCACCATTTGATTTTTTTTTTGGACAATGGAGGTAATATTTCTAAATTCTTTTATTTTAATTTTTATGACTAAGAAATAAGAAAACGCCCCACCATCCTGCCCAATTTTTTTTTCGGCACTTAATGTTCTTACATTATGCATACATGCTTTGAATTGATGAAACTTTTAAAATTTATTATCTTTTTGTTTTAAATAGCGAAAAATAGAATAGCGAAACTATCAGGATGAAATTGCGTGAAGCGGATGCAAAAATTACTTGAACAGGTATGTAAGGTAACTTAATGGGTTAGAAATTCTACAAAATTAGCACTATAGGAGAAGTTGTCTGATACATTTGGGATATATAAATATATATTTTTATATATGATTCCACCAATAGGCTGAGCATATTGTTATGAATCGTCGTCAAGATGCTTATAATAGGGTTTCATCTTGGAATGGTAGCAAATTAACAAGCATCATCAAACAAAACGGATGATGATCATATAGACATAGAAATGGAAGAAGTACAGCATACAACGAAATCAAATGATTTTACAACAAAACTCAAACAATTCCTGTGAGATTACAGCATTCAAAAGTCATGCAGAAAAAAAATCATAGGAAAAATTATTAAAATCAAACAAATTAGATGGTGATTCTTCGACTTCGAGAAGATAGGATCACTTCAAGACTACAACTTCCAAATGGTTCAAATAGCTGAGACAATAGTAATCCACAGAAAAATAATGGAGAATCAATAGAAGGTAAGCAATTTAGTAACTAAGATACTGTTTCAATCATACTAATGGCATTAATTTTTTTGTTTTAGGCTGCAATCAAGTTGATTATAGCAGGAGAAGTGGACATCAACATCGCACAGGAGAAAAGGAACCTTAGAAGCAACGCATACTGGAGAGAGGAAGTCAGCAAAAGTATAACTGCATAAAAGGGAGGAAAATGTATTGGTACGTAACAAAACTTTTAAAAATTTAATTTATACCAGCAAATTTTTTTTGTCTGGTTCTTTTTCAGCTTTACAACCTTAAAAGATAAAAATGCCCCACCGTCCTGCACAAATTTTTTTTTGGCTCTAAGAGTTTGACATTTTGCTGATCATTTAACAAAATTTTTTCAGCTATGAGAATTGTCTGAAACGTTTGAGAAATAAAGAGATTTAATGAACATTGATATCATTCCACTAATAGGTTGCAACAAGTTTCATCAAATACAACGGGTCATGATCAAATGGATATAAAAATCGAAGAATAACAGCATACAACGAAATCAAATGATGCTGCAATAATATTCAAACAGTTCTAAAATAAATCAACCAGCATCGAAAGTCATGCAGAAAAAAAATACATGGAAAAATAATTCGATTGCAACTCACAAGATGGCGATTTTTCGAGACTTAGAGGAGAAAGGATCACATCCAGACATCAAATAGTTGAGACCATAGAGATAATAGACGAGATAATAATAATCGATCAAGAGACGGTAAAGATATTCATTAATGTTAAGTTTCAATTATACAAAAAGCATGCATATCTATGATTTAGGCGGCAATCAACATTATTATAAGAGGAGAAGTGCGCATCATCATCGAACAGGAGTGATAGAACGTGAAGCATCGCACAATCGAAAAAGAAAGACATCAAAATGGATTAATGGAAATAAAGCAGGGAGATTTATCGGTATGTAGTATATTTTATAGGTTTTACTCCATTTGCATTGTCTAGAAAGTACATCATCATCACTAGAAGAATGAAAAATTTATGATGAAGAAACGTAACCTTCATGAGTTAAGCAAAAGATAAACAACTTCAACAAACAGCTTCAAAAAAAATAGGAACAGTTATTAAAAAAAAATTTGGTATGTCTGAAAATATCTCGAATTAAAATGTCTCGTTTATTAATGTTTTCCCTTTAGGAATTTCACCTTCAAACATAATATGTTTGGTTTTTCTACCAACAACGGATAAAACATCAGTCAAATAAAACGTATGATGATCAAATCGACAAAGAAATTGGAGAAGAGCAACATCCAACGAAATGAAAATTTCCATCCAAGATGTAAGCAAATCCATCAATATCAAATTTCATGGAAAATCAAACAAATAATGAAAATAATTCAATTGCAACACAACAAGATGCAATTTTTCGAGACTTAGAGGAGATCGGATCACTCCAAGACTACAGCTGGCAGATGATTCAAATAGCTCAGAAAAAAGACGGAATAAAAATGGTGAATCAAGAGAAGGTAAGCAATATAGTCACTAAGTTGCCATTTCAATCATACTGAAAGAAAACGTGTAGAAACGTGAGAAGAACACAAAAAGGATTAAGAAACGCACCTAAGGATTACTGGATATAAAAACAAGGAGATTTATCGGTATGTTGTAATTTTTTTTTTGTAAGGTGTTTTTTTTTTTGAAGGTGTTTTTTTTTTTTGAAGGTGTTTTTTTTTTGAAGGTGTTTTTTTTTTGAAGGTGTTTTTTTTTTGAAGGTGTTTTTTTTTTTGCTAAACATTTTGAAAACCAGCAATCCCTTTGACTCGTTTAAACTGCGTTTAAATTATTTTTTACAAATTTAAAAGAAGAAAATGCCCCACCGTCCTGCCCAATTTTTTTTTTGGAACTTTTAGTCTTGACATTTTCATACATGATTTGAATTGATGGATTTTAACTTCCACGCAAAAGCGGGGATACCAAAATGTGTGTAATAGGAAGCCGGATTTTTCTGTATATAAACTTACAATTGGACCTCTATGCGTCAATATTATTTGTTATACTATTATTCGTTATACTTCAATACTATTGCTCCGCTCAGCAATGTTCCATTTCACTTTGTTCCGTTCCGCACAGCTCGTCCACTCCCCTTCCTACAGCTAAGACTCCCATCAAAAGTATCCTTTCGCAGACATTGAAAGCAACTGTCAATATGTTGAAGATGTGATATTTTATTAGATCTTTCACCTTAAAATTTTTTTTGAATAAAACACATAATGTATTATGTACTACAAGGATATATTTTTCAAAATTATCATTTTCGATCTTTTCGAGAAATTTGACAACTATTTTGTTATCTAACATAAGTCAAGCGTGGAAGTGAATTAATGAAATGGAAGGGCAATTAAATCAACAGCTTCAAAAGATTGAATCTAATAAAAAATCAGCACAAGATGGTTTAGAGAAAGCAAATGATCAGATCATTCACTTCTAAGATGAAGTTGTAAAACGTTCACAAACCATTTTTAAATCTGTCGGCAGCTGCACCAAATAATTCTAAGAGACATGATAAATTAAAGCTTGTAAATGATTATTTTGATAATTGCAATGGATTGAGTCATATTTGCCCGAATCTTAACAAATATCATTCACATATGTATTATTCAAATATATTTCACAAGCATGAAAACCGACAAATTTACCAGATATTTTAGGGTGGCAAAATTACAGAAAAAAGCAGTTGCATCATGAAAATATTTTACCATCCATTTCATTGATGACGGTACGGTACCGACGCAATCACGCTTTTGTGAGTGTAATCACTGATCAAAAAACTCATTTTTAAAATACAACAATTTCTTCTGTTTTATGAAACGGTCAATAATTTTTTATTGTCATTTACCTGCAAAGTGCACCTCACATATGTAGATCCAAAAAATAACTTTAATCTCTCATAAATTGAAACAACAGTTTTGGTGAAAAGAGAAATGAAGTCATAAATTATGCAGTTTTATAGTTATGACTTTTTACGCAATAAATGAATAAAATCCTCAAATATATTTTATGTCCTTCAAATGAATTTTTTTGCATATGGAATAACAGAATTTTGAGAAAAAATAGAGACAAAATATATTTTAAACTATTCAAATCTTAGTCTACATGACTGTAGGTTCAGGTTTTAATTTTCTATTGAATCTAAATATTCCATGACTCTTTAAAAGAAAAAAAGGCTTTTAGCTGTAAAGCGATAAGAGCCTACATAAAGATGTTCTCGTTCTTTTCACATTAATTCTCTATTTCATGCCAAATATCCTGTTTGAAGCGATAAGATTACATGTACGTAAACATATATAAAGACCCAGAAAAGGAACTGAAAAGGGAATGTGAAGAAGACAGATAGGTCTAGTGACAACGTTGAGGAATAAACAAAGCGGTCAATTCATTTTGTTTCCATTTTTCCTCTCATCCTTGTAAGATGTACAACATAACACTAAACAAACAAACGCCAATAAATTTTTACAGTCACATGTTTATGATCAAGATACATAAGATGGATGGATCAGTATAAAAGGATAACGTAAAGGCAAAGTAATTTTCTAAGAAGAGACATCAATAAAAATTGAGAAGATGAGAAAATAATTTTTATGGCTTCTGTGGAAGAAATGTAGAACATATTTTTCATTCTCTGTTCCTCTATTCTTGGCTATTTTTGTCATGCATGAGGTCAGTTACCCAATGAACAATTAATTTAAAAACATATTAGGAATTGTTTTATGATTCAACGTGATTAGTTTTTATTGATGCTTGCTCATGAAAATATAGCAGTAATAGTTAAATTTAAAGGAAGACCTGTCTGCACCTTATTTTCATTTATTTATTTACTATACTTAACATCATGGTCAAGTTCAAATATTAATATTTACAAAAAACTGCAAGAAGCCTAGAAAAAAATATTAATAGTTTATTTTTTTAAAAAAATCATTTTTATTCAATCTTGGATCCTCTTTTACTTTTTGCATTGCTTAAATCTATTATTAAAAAATTCAATACTTAAACTAAACCTTAAATTCTTTCAAGCTAAATTTTTGGTGTTTCTTTAACCCGTTAATTACGGAATTTTTTTGGGACATTAGAGTGTATTTATTTGATGGATTGAAGTATAAAAATAAGTTTGACGAAGAGTTTGGCTCAATTTAATGCACAGATTTAATAAAATTAACAAAATTCTTCCGTAACATATATGTTACGCTAGGATTTTGCAAGCAAAAATTTTTTTCTTCCAAAAAATTTAATTCCTTTGTTTTTCCTTTTTCTTTAGTATTTGTGAATAATAGCATAATTTATTATTAGTTTTATGCTGTTTTACTCCAAAAGAAGTCAAATTTGAATACTGTAATGCACATAATAACGAAAAAACCTTAATTTATTTACACTTTTAATATATGTCATATCTTTCAAATGAAACATTTTTCGGCGTTCTGAACTCACTTAGCTCGTTATTTTCACTCTATTTCATTAGTTATTCCCTTATGAAACTCTTCAAATAATTCCAAATGATAAAAAAGTCTATTTTTTTTAAATTTTCTTTTAATTTTTCAATGCAAATTTTTTCAAACATCAAAAAATCCTCTTTAAAGCACTCATACTAATATTTTTGCCACTGAATCACTTATTTTTATCATAATTTAGCTATACACAAAATAATTTGACGTACTTCAAAGCCAAATCGGTTTAATTAATTAAATTATATTTTAAATTAAAATCGCTAAAATATTTGCAAAATACTAGCGTTACACATATGTAACGGGCAATTTATATCGTATTTTCCTAGCGTTACATATATGTTACATTTATTATCGTCACATAGTTAATGTATTTAACTATGCTTTACCTTTATTAGTGAGTTTTTAACTATAATTATAGATGATTTACTTTATAAATCTGTCCAGTTCTGATCAAAAATGAGTCAGAAAATATGAAAATTTTGAGTTTCAAAACGACTAAATTTTCCATGTAAAAGAAAACTTTAATTAATTTCTCCAATTTACATAAATAAGCAGCATAAAGTATTAGGGAAGGTACTTAATCTAGCTATAAATGTAAATCATTAATCAGATTCAATGTAAAATCAATTATTGTAGAGAATTTTAAGAAAAAGTTGGCGTAACATATATGTTACGCTAGTAAAGAACGGGTTAAATCACTAAACTAAATTGAGTTTTTAAATATTTTATCAAATTATCACTAGGAAGCTATTCATCTCTTAATGCAATTATGTCTCACAATTATCATATTCTATTGATATAAAAAATCTTAAATTAACAGATACGAGTTACGGTTTAAGTAAATTGTCATTATTCTATTTTTTAATCATGAACGAATTCATTCTACCTTCAGTTTCTATAAACATTGATTTTTTTTTATCTTATAAATGCTGTAATTAGTTTCCCTTTTGTACTTATTAAATTTTCAAAAGTACACAATTCAATTGTTAGAATAATATTTATTTATTGAATTTACACGGCAAATTTAGCAAAATAGACGGTGTGCAGTATTGCCAGCTCATTTAACAATTATTATCAAGTACTGTATATAATTTGATTACAGCGTATGCAACTATCTTTTGTTATTTTAATGATATAACCTGGGAAATGACCTACATTTTCAAATGTTGACGTTTCCTGAATTTTTCACTCACTGGATGTTCAACATATTTGATTGTTTAAAACTTTTATGAAAATCACGGCATTAAATTAAATTATCAGTTATTGACAGAACAATTTAAATAGGAATGACAAATAAAGGGGCTGCTCTAATGATAACTTATTGTTCTCGAGTGATTGTCAAACATGAAACATTTCATCCTAAATGCTATACAGAAATGATAACATCTTATAATTGAATTTTGTGGATTAGAGGTTGTCACATCTTTTTGCCAAATTTATTCATACTTAATCTAAATTTCGAATCAGACAATCAACAAAGAGAAGCGACTTAAATTTTCACAACATTAACACAAACTTCACATTAGAATCAATGTCACGTTTCTTAAATTTCCAATATCAATTCCGCTATCACAATCTTCAAATCTTATCTACGTGATTCCTCAAACTTCTTGTTAATTTTATTATTTTTTCATTGTTTTCCGATTGTTGTACGACACACACAAAAATATCCCACCCTAATTGTCTTCCTACATCTTATCAGTTTTTTCACTCAATTTCCCATTATATTCACTGACATTCATAAATCGATTCCAATAGTGATCAATTATTTTGAGCTATCAGGAAGAAAAACTAACAATTAACTTAATTGCAATCGATCTCTTCACACAAATTCATTTACTTCTCGTTTACAGCTTTGCATCGATTGAATGTAATTTAATGTCGTCAATAGAACTCCATTCGACCTTGAACCACATTAATCAACGTCTGCGTTTGCTTTGTTTCGCCTTTAGTTTTTGTTGCGTTTTAACCAGCAGTGCTGTTGTCAAAACAAAAATAGAATCGGAATTATAATAGAGGTGATAAGAAGCTTTACAGTAATTCCGCTTTCGTCAGTTCGGCTTTCTTTCTTTGGTATTTGTTGGATCTAACTGCTGTTTATTTAAAGGATTAGAATAAGGTTTCATCTTATTCCGAATGATTTTCTCAAAGCTTTTAAGTCCAATTCTAAAACTTGTTTAGAAATTTCTTTGGATTTTTCTTGAAGTAGTTTAGCTTGTCTTCTAAACTTTAAGATATTCTCCTCAAAATATTGAGAATCTCATTCCACTTTACATACCTTCAATTTAAGGTAATTTCTTCAAACTTAAAGAATTTTCTTCTTATTTGATATGATTATTTTTATGCTTTTCATCAAGTTCATTGAAAAGCGTTGACTGTCAAGAATATTTTATGGCATTTATCATTTCTATCCTTGACTGACACTTTATCGTGACAATGTCATTGTTGTCTCGTTCTTGATATTCAATTCTGAATTGTTTTGATTGTGGACCTGAACATCAGCTGGATTTGTGAAAAAGTTGTTACTGCCCTCATGAACTGGAACAATGAAGACCTTTGGATCATTAATTTTATTCATAACACTCGCATAAGTTGGAGGTGCAAAATGTTTATATGATGGACATGGACTAGGTGTTGGGTTTCTTGTTTCAACTGGCTTTTGGTTTCTCCTTTGATTACATGAATTTTCGGTACAAGCCATAACAATAAAGAACCCAAAAAGGGCTGTAAATGTTGTGAGATACCAAATTAATGTTACGGTATCCATTCCTAATTCTTCACTATCTTTCTTGCCAAATATATTAGGTTCGTTTTTTTCCTTATCTTCTTGTTGATCCGAAATTGTTAAATTTTTTGCTGATTCTGAAAAAGTAAAATTCAAAATTAAGCTGCTGTCTTAAAATCTTTAAATAGAATTTGATTAAAATTGAAACTTTATGATAATAAAGCCATACCTGTTTTAGAATTAGTATCCAATTGAACTACTGCTTTTTGTTCGATTACATTACTAAGGAATTGAAAATCACTAAATTCCTGAACATTGCTTGATGTTGCATGAACTATGCAAGATATAACAATCAAGCAAACCAAAACTTCTCTGTCTGCAAAAATATCGAATAAAAAAAAAGTTTTGTGTAAATTTTCACAAAATAAAGCAAGTACAACTGACAGTAAGCAAGCAAAATGACAAATGAAATCATTGTGTTAAAATTTGTATGCCTTTATACTGATATTTTTATCTGTCTCTATTATCAGTTCTACATATAAAGCAAATCGAATTTCCTGATAACAACTTTTACTACCTCAACGGTACTTTCTGTATTGCGTAATCAAATTTCTCTTCTATCAAATTTAGATACAGTATTGTAAGGATGAATACATTCCACTGACTGAATGAGCTCATCATTTTTAAGCAATGAATTTTCGAGATTTAAAGATTGCAGATAATAGGGTAACATAATACACATTGTGTGAGGAACAATTGTATTTTTGAAGGAATTTATAGAAATGTTGACGTCAAACTTATTTATAGGATTTCTTATTAATTTGCTGAATGTCCTAGAACGTTTGACTGAATCTACTAAAATATATTATTTGTGTCCACATATCAAATTTATAATCAGATTCACCAAATTACTGATTTTATTGTTAATTTCCAAAGAAAGAATTAATGTTTTTTCTTTCAATTTCATCATATCCGTAATTTTTCTATTCTTTCCTTCTTCATCACAATTTTATAAATGGAATATTGATTTTCTGTTAAAAGTATTGAATTTATAGGACTTGATGCGACGTATGAGTAAACATTTCACATTTTTAATTTCGTTAAGGTAACAATTCTATTTTTATAGATAGGAAAATGTTAATACTGACTCACTAGACATCATTCTCAAATAGTTGAATGTTCAAAATTAATGATCCTTTTAGGGCAATTTTAATTTTTTCATTAATTACATTTTTCAAGTTAAAGTTTTTTTTTTGGATTCATGATTTTCGACAAAATTTCATCATCGAACAAACTAATTGCAAAGAGGTTTCTAATTTCAAACATTGAGCTTAAATAAATGAACTCTTTGCGCTAAATTAATTTTTTCCAATCGCAAATTTCTTTTCTACGTGACTTATTGCAGGTTTCTGTGTTCAATTACTTATTCAATACATTAATCACGTTAATTCAATTCAGTTCGATTCTATTCTGTGCTTTATTGCATGATTTTCAAAACATCCTTTCGTCACAGCACGCGCGAGAAATGTAATAGAAATTAAATTTTAAATGCTTTATTGCTAACGGCCTGTTTCACTAAAGTGGATTATCCTCGATTTCGGATTATCCACTTTAGTTTTTTGTAAATATCTTAAACTTTATGGGAGGTGTGGTATTTCTAATTTTGGATTATAATAGAGTGAAGTATGCCTGAAATTTCTGTATACTTTAAACTTTTACTTTTCGTTAAGAAGTATTAATTATTCAATTTTCTAGCCAAATCTAGTAGATTATCTTCGATATTTGCTATAATTCTCAAACTAGTGAAGATATAAAAATTCTAAGTTTATGTTAATTTAAGTATCAAAATACTCTAACTAATTCACACATTAGATCTCTTAATAACCTTAAGCATCTGGAGATATTTCCAAAAAACTGAAGTGGATAATCCGAAATCGAGGATAATCCACTTTAGTGAAACAGGCCGTAAATTCTTTGCATATTCTTATCAAGGGAGCGAATTGTTATGTATTTAATCAGAAATATTTTGAGGATTGATTGATACCTTTGGGAAGTGTAGAATGGATTCATAATGTAACAACAAATTTACAAATTGGTTGAGAAATAGAAATGTAAATAATCAGCATTGCTTTTCACTAAATTACAGAATTAATTGAATAATTCATATTCGGTTTCTCACATGATTTGATTTTGACACATTCCATAACACATTCTCCTAATTTTCATGATGTATTTTTAAAGCATTTCAAATCGATTTAACGAGTTTGAAGAATTGAGCAATTTTAACATAAAATGCATCAAACTTAAAATAATATTAACAAAATCACAACACTAGGTAATCAATGTTTACGATCTCGGTATTGTTGAACGCTGAAAAACCGGGAGAATTGTGTGTTTAAAATTATATTTTCACTAGAATTGCAGTTTTCACAACTAAAACAGTTTAAATTGAAGAGTCTTTAAATTCTTTATATTTTAAATATTTTTCTTGTAAAATAATTTTAAACCCTTCTGACTAAACTAATGCTTTAGAGCCAAGCAGAAATCTAACTTCATCTCCGCATCCTGATATGCAAACTCCATAGTTTTTTGTATTTTGAACATTTTTGAAAAAACTAAACATAACAGACCATGTCAGTGAACCATATGCATCTATATAATGATTTATTGAAAGCCATCATCGCACGCAATTTAATAAAACGTGACAACTGCTGTTTGTTTTCCTCTTCATCATCATCATCATTCTCATTTTCTGGGTCACAATATTATTGCTCGAATTTATATTACATTAAGCTTGCATTGCTCAAAGTTTAAAGATGGAGGAAAGACAAGGAAGGGTGTATCTAGCAAATCGATTGAGTAAATTGATGTCGACAAACTTGTATAATGATTCAGGAAATTTGTTTAATAATTTAATTATAAAAGCTGGAAAATCAAATAGGCTTTTAACTTTAATAGGGAATTATTAAGTACTGACGATTCAGAATAAATGAAGCCCAACTGTTGTTCTAGTGATATTAAAAGGAAAATTAAGTTTAATTGTTTTAGAAGTTTGAGCGTCATTAAGTCAAGTTTAAGTGATCTTAAGTTTATAACGTTAAAGTCACATTTCAACTGATATAATTTGGAGATAAATTGTTTTTTTAAATTTTTTTTTATGAATTTATTTCAAGCATGTTTGAGCTTATTGAGCTAAATTAAATTCATTTTTTAATTGATGTATTAATTCTGCTATAGTTTAGGTTTTAAAACTATTCAGAAGATTTATGAAGTTGAATTAAATGAAAAACTTAGAACATCAATGTGATCCAAAAATAAATCTCATAAATTAAGATCCAGAACACTTTGCACGTGTTTTAATGTTTATGATGTCCATAACTTTATTGCTGAACTATAAAAAAAATTATCTTCACCTCTTTGTTCTGTCATAATTTTCATGATGATACGCACATAACAATGTGACATAAATTTGAATATAATTAAAATACTCATCACATTCGCTGCGATTAATCTTGTAAATTGAATTTGCATGAAGTGCCTACAGAGACTATCAATTAGATGAGGAGAAGAATTATTGAAAATATGGATAAAAGAGATGATCCGTTCTTAAAAATAACGAATTCAAAGGGAAATCGTTTATGGAGATTCTAATTTTCGGATTATTCTTCTAAATAGATGTGAATTAGATATTGAAAGAAATCAATAAAAATTTCTAATGAATCCCGTTAATTCAATTCTTTTCGAAATCGATAATAAACTAATAATCTTAAGTGATAATAATGGCAACAATAAGAATTATCATCATCATTAATGAAACAAAAAAGAGAAAAACAGAAATAAATTCATTAAAGCACCTCGGTTCTCACTTCCGATTTGTATATCAAAACGAACTCTATTTTTTGTAGAAAACCAAAAAAGAAAAGAATTATGAGAATAATTAGTAAGATGCATGAAGCTTTCGCTTTCAAAAAAACAATAAGAGAGCGAGTTTAAACTACTCGGTGATGATTGAATTGGAGTGCATTTTGATTGCGTAACTGAATTGATTTTCGCTGGCTGTTATGGCTTATGCTCAGTTAAAGAATTAGATAGGTTGTTTTCAAAAATAGTATTTCTAAACCGTTTTTTAAAGTTTTATAGCAATACCAAAATCAACAAAATATCTCTTAAATTAATCTAGCTCATTTCTATATTGCGTCGATAAAATTGTAAATGTATTTCTTGCTTTACAAAAAGTTTCAATAGTTATCCCTAAGATTACATCATATTAAAATACTACCAAAATTTTTAGATATTGCAGATCAACATTCTATTTCATCAGAGTTCATACAAAAGTACTTCCAAAAAGACATGTTGTCTGATAAGTTTAATAAATAAGATTTACATTCTATTGTCCTTTAGCATATAGAACTAATAGCTTTGCTCACGAAGATTTAAAGAAAGCAATTATTAAAATTCTGATATGATTAAAGCGCACTTTCTATACTCGAATTTCAAATGTTTTCATGTCCAAGAAGTCCTTGGCAAAAATTAACTGTACATTTCCAAAAAAATCTTTTCTGCAATAGCGGCTACACATTTAATGCAAAATTCTGATAATATAAGAACATAGAAAAATAATCTTTTGTTTGAATTATTGACACTCATTCATTCGTTCCTTTATGATATTAATTCATAACAAATTAATTCGAACATGCAAAGAATAAATAAAATCTTAATATTTATGTGTATACCTGGATAAGATCAATACCAGAAATTAGAGATGAATTTCTCTTTTTTTTTGGTGCTTCGAACTATGAAATAATTAAAGAAAATTAAGTCAGAGAGAAATTAAAAGTAAAGACTGACTTTTGTAACTAGGTATGTGAAATTTACCGCAATTCTAGAAATGTTGAAACGGTATTCGGATGTTAATTTTTTGGGCAATTGTATATGCACGCATGAGTAATTTGAAGTGAGATTAGTAGTCTTAATGGACACCTGTTCCACTGGACTCGATTAAAAAGTGAAATCCTTGAATGCCATTTTAAATATTTCTTTATTTTTTTGCATTCTTTTTTGGGAGTTTTTGGATGTATCACAATCACTGTGGCATATGATCTAGTTCATTGTCTGTTAAATAAATTTTGCATTGTATGGTAAATAAATTGTGAGTTGAATTCAAATGTTTAAATTAATCGATTAAAGTTTAATCATTAAACTTCACGATGATCTTTTAAAGTTCATAGATTAAGAGCTTTTAACATTCATGTTTTGCTATTAAGATAATTTACTTCTGAAAAACTGTTGAAAAATTGAAAATTTGTAATCATATAAATTTAGCAAGTTTACAATTAGTGCTGATATAGCAAAAAATATTATAATCCACTAATTCGTTTTGACTATAAATTTTTTTTATTCTTATATCCTTGAATCCACAGCTTAAAAGAAAATATGTTGATAAGAAAATTTAATTGAAATTATTTTCGCTACATACTAAATCGTTGGAAGGATGACACACTTATATAAACACTTTAATAGTTACATGTAGACCAGCTTTTCAAAAATAATCATTTTTGTTCAATTTGTATCAAGGCGTGGAAACTTAGGATTCATCTTGAAAAATCCCAAAATCCTAAAAAGTCCCTGAGCCAATAAACTTGGAAATGTAAAATCCCTTTTAAATCCCTGATGCATTTGATGAATAACTTCTTGATTTAAACGGGATTTTACATTTCCATGTTTATTGGCTCAGGGATGTTTTAGGATTTTCGGGATTTTTTTAGGATTAATCCTGAGTTTCCACGCCTTGATTTGTAGCCAGAAAAAGGGGTTTGGTCAGTCTCCTTAAGTTTGTTTAATGATCTTTAATTTTTTTACCGTCTTTTAAAGACCTGACGAGTTGCCCTATGAACAACTTGTGTCTAGACCTCCCTAGCGTTTACTGACAACATGAACTCAATAAGGATTAATCCGTAAAATTAATTATCATACCGGTTAGTTTATTTACACGATTATGCAATTGCCACAATGACATTGAGTCGACACTGCATTTCACGAATTAAAAAACAATAATAAGTTGATCAGGTAAATAAGATAAGATATTTAAGTCAACTGGTTGTTAGCATGCTTGACTTATAATAACTAAATGTGTCGCATTATTTTTGTACTAGGCTATCCGGAGGCGCCCGTGGCGCCTCTTATCAGGGTTAAAATTTGATTAGTATTATGTAAATAACTGTAAGACGTAAATAACCATAATGTTTTTAAGGTCAATCTTACCACAAAACTTCACATGGCCACAAAACTTCACAGGGGGCCTCACAACCCCCTCAAACTCGGATTTCCTTAATCCCACAAAAACTATATAAATGGCTTCACAAAACTTCACATGGCTTCACAAACCCCCTCAAACTCGGACCTCCTTAATCCCTCAAAAATTTTATAAATGGCTTCGAACTCGAACCCCCTTAATCCCACTAAAACTTTATGAATGGCTTCACAAAACTTCACAGGACTTCACAAACCCCCTTAAACTCGAACCCTCTTAATCCCACTAAAACTTTATAAATGGCTTCACAAACTCCCTCAAACTCGGACTTCCTTAATCCCGTAAAAACTTTATAAATAGCTTCACAAAACTTCACATGGCTTCACAAAATATTCCTGACACAAAACTTTTCCCACAAACCCCCTCAAATTCGGATCTCAAATCATTGGCTTCACAAAATATACCTGACATCCCCCCCCACCCCCATCCCCACCTGACACCCACTTTGCCCCCCCCCCCCCCCCGCCCCTTGTCCCCCACACAACTGACACCCACCTTGTCAGCACCCCTAAAATTATTGGCTTCACAAAATATACCTGACACCCACCCCCCACCTGACACTCACCCCCACCTGACAACCACCTTGTCAACACTCCTTAAATTTTTGTCTTCACACGGCTTCACAAATGTCTTCACATTGCTTCCGTTCCAGAGTCAGTGAATCAGTGAGTTGGGCTTTTATATATTAGATTTTGTCAAACTTAGTGACGTTTTTAATCGCGAGATATCATTTCGTTTTGATAAAATCTTCAAAACATCGTAACCGATAACAACTTTTTTTTTCAATTGGCCTCATTTACGATATCACATTCCTAATACTTCGCACTATGATTGTTGATAATTCACAACACCTTTTCACTTAAGAACGTATTTTCCTTTTGTTATCAAGAAATCCAATTGCTTTATTCTTTTAATCGTAAATATTTTCGTTTTTTGTCTTATCTTAATATTTGATTAAAGATCTACGACGAGTACTTGAATTTTTGTTTTTTTTTTTGTCACGGTAATCAAATCTTAATGACTCAAGTGTGTGTCTATAATAAAAGTTATTGACTCTTACCTCTTAAATTCATTTTAATTAAACTTTATTCTTTTAATTCTTGGTGTGGATTTGTTGGATATCTATTTTTGAATCCTTATCAATAATTCAGTCACACGTCTATTTTTATAATTGAATTAACTTGCAGTTTTATCTTTCGAAAGTGAAGCGTTGGAAAAAAATAGCCGTCGTCTAATTTATTCTACAAGTAGCACAAATCTCTCGACACTTCAACAACGACTGTAATGCAATTGAGCTTACAGCAGTCAATACAACAAAAAAACGAATAGTGAGTAAATTTTTGGTGGAGTGAACGGAATAGTCAGCGTGCAAGCAAAAGCAGCTAAGATAACCGACTGATGAAAAAACAACAACAAAGAAGTTGAATTTGAATCTGTTTCACTTTTTGTTTCTTTCCTCTCTTCAATGCTTTATTGTGGGGGATTTTAATTGCTCTTGATCACTTAAAGTATGTGTGAATATGCTTTTAGTGGGTCACTGATATTTTTCTTTTGGTCGAACTATAACAGGATTTTTCTCTTTATGCAACTATTCTTTGCCCTTTTGTTTCAATGATTTTTATTTTTTTTTTTCTTCTCTTTTCACCTTCTATACAGCTTGGAGTCTCATTTCAAACAGAAATTGTTAACACGTAAAATACTATATTTATAATTCAGTGTAAAAAAATATAAAGAAGTAATTCACTTTCAAGTGCTATTGTTATGTACGATAAGCCGTTCCTGTATACATACACTTTTTACATTTGCAGGTTCTCTACAGAAATTTTAAGAATCATTTCTTTACAAAATTGCTCATTAAAATGGTCAAGTTTTGGATTTAAAGTTTTTGCATCAATCATCCGAGCTTATTTGCTGGTTTACTAACTTTCCCGCTGTATTTAATAATCAAAACTAATTTTTCACTGCTAAAAACGAGATGAATCAAGACTGATTTAAGTTCTATTGATTATTGCTTATTTTCCTCTCTTACAATCTTTGAAGTACTTTGTAATTATAAAGTAATTAGCAAAGCGTCTCTTTTAATAGACTCATTCATTCACAAACTGATAATCATGGTGACAAAACAGCTAAAATTTTATAGTAAAGACGGTGTTCTGTGCACATTTCTTATCTTATCAGGACAAGTATGTGACCCGATCGGTACACATTGAAAGGTTTGCTACCCGGCGGTCGAGTTAATAGTATAATTAGAACCAAGCAGCAGCTGGTTGGAAGCAACTTCCAACTGGATGCCAAGTGGTTGCTACATTGCCAATTACTATCAAGCCAGCCCTTTGGTAGCAAACATTCCAATGACTTTCAATGTGTGTCGATCGGATGAACTTTAAATCACTTAAACTGCTTTTCTACTTTACAAGTGTTTTGCTGTTTTTTTTTTTTTTAATTGAAATAGGCGTTATCACATCGCCACGCTTTTATATACTTTATATAGTGTATCTTGATAAAAAAAATTTATATAGGTGCTGTTTGCTGTTGAGAGATTTAATTAGAGTACCTACTTGACAAACTTTCCGGGATTAACAAAAAGGCATATAAAGTAGTATTTTTAACTCGTTTGACGGTATATTATGATGTTATTATTTTTTCTCGTCACTTCTTGATCGATGACTTTTGTTTTTGTTTCATTCATAAGTGGTTTCACGAACAAAAAAGTATTCAAGTACTCAAGAGTAAAAGGGTCGCAAATGATGGGATTGTTTTGAAGCTTTATTTATAAGTTTCAATTAAGCGTGATTATCTTGTTGTCAAACTTAAGTACATCTATGTGCAGGAAATGCACAAGTGATAAGGACTAATCGAATTTATATCTTGAATTGAATGAGTCAAATTGTTTTGTTTTTGATTGCTAGACGTTTGCAGTTTAACTGCTACTTTTTTCTGAAGTGTTGGAATTTGGGACTCATGAACTCTGCACAAAATGCAGGTGTTAAAATTATAAGTTCAATCGTCATACTCTCAAATGTCATCTTAGGACTTTTCTCTTAAAGGTCGTTCTTTGTAAAAGTCAACAGTTTATGTTGCAGAATTGAATTGACAACTCTGCATGGGAACTTCGTGCTCAAACCTAGACTGGACTTAGACTTACTAAGGGGCAACGTGTCATAATTATTAAATTAATATAAATGGCTGCAATAAGCCAATATCTAACTCAACTGTTTAAAATTCTTATAGAAATGTTTTAAATATCAATAATGTACTCACTTTTTATGTTTCTGAATACCTTTTGGTAATAAATTATATACTTACTTACTTACTATAAAACCAAATCTTACCAAATTAAACCAATTATTGAACCAGTTAAGTCAGTTTTATTCAGTTTACTGATAAGTTTTGGTTGAAAAGTGTTTTCGTTGGAAACAAGGATTTAAAGTAAAACCATTGAGTTTTTATAATTTCTTTATCGATACTTTTTTTTATTTCAAATTGTTTTAATTGTTTAACATCATCACAAAATTATTTTTTAATTATCTTTTATTATTATTATTATTATTCTCGTGGTGTTAATTATTATCGCGAAATTGCAATTTTCTTTATATATAGTACATCTACTAATGTTTCCTTTCAGTACAACTTTAAACTATTTTTTTATGCATTTTTGTGTGTGGGGTTGTTTTAAGCTATTTAAAAAACTTTTTTTTTGTTAACTGATAACACCAGAACTTTAGTTGTATAAAATAGAGCACTACGTAAAAATTTCAATAGGAATTTTGTTTAATAAATATTGCCACCAAGAGCGTCATTGTAAATTTTTAATAATATTCGATTAATTGAGTTTCTAACACTTTTACGATTTAGAGAACTTTAAATTTGCATTAATTAATGTGCTTGCGTTATGACTTTTTTTTTTTTGTGATTAATTCTCAACCTTCCAATAACTTACTGATAAAACAAACAATGGTGACTAAATGAAAAGTTCAATTTAATAAAATTGCAACCTCATGAATAAATCTAACTTAATTCTTATTCTAATTCTTGTTTTATTTATATATTTTCAAATTTGAGCATTTACCTAAATTAGAAAAATTGAAAAGCTATCAAAATTATTAAACAAATTGTAAGTAAATCATCAATTGAAAAGTGTTCCTATACAAGAGATCACATAAAACATAAAACAATTGCATGGCTCTGTTGATTACTTTTTGGGGGTTTAAGATAGTCAAATCAATGAAGAACTATGACTAATAAACTTTAAATACATATAAATTTTTGACTCGATTAAATTTCTTCATTTCTTTATAAAATATCTACTTTTAGCGTTTTAATTCTAATACAGTAGTCAATTTTTCAATTATCGAAAATGGCGATGGAACGAGATCATTTTGAAGTATGTCTATTCAGCTTCTGTAAGATGAGTCATTTCACACTTACTGTTTAGATTATTTTCTAGGAAATCGAGTGAAAAATTTCATGACTTATGGCGTAAATAATTTAATGAATTCCTAGAATACTTCCAAAATGATAAGCTCCAGTGCACCTGAAATTTTTATCTCTCTCTCAAAAACGAAATCCTTAAATATTTTTAACTACTATATAGGCATTGTGCGTTAATAATTTAAACATTTTCAGCATCATTTTTACGAGCACTTTGTTCTGGAAATAGTTCACTATAACTTGGCGGTAAATCATCTTTATCAAAAGGCGGTGGAGCAGCAGATGGTGATGTGTCTTGGGATGTTGAAACTACTTCTGTATTATGTCTACGTCTTCTACGTTGCGGTCGAATAGCTGTCGTTGTCGTTTGTGGAATTGGTGAAAGGCATCGTTTAATTTTATATATTATCCAAATTAATGCACCGCAAGTAAGCATGGTAAGGATGAGTGATGTAATTGCGCTTAGGAAGATCTGAATAATATTTTCACTTGATGTCGAATCATCATTTAAATCGGTTACAAAAATGGACGAAGAAGCACAGCCTGAAGATGGCTCATCAAGACAATTGGGTTCGATACAATTGACAATAGAATCGTTAACAAAACGCTTATCAATACAACTCTTAATATTATTTGGCTTACAATTAAATTCACCGTCAAAATCATTAGAGCACTTTTTGAACGCAGTTGCTATTAACTGAAATTCTATAAAATCCTCATCTTTTGGAAATATTGCGGACGAATCGATAGAAAGAGTGATTTTAACTTTTCCCGAAAGATCCTCATAGCTTGTAATCTTCCCGTTTGATATACTTCCACAAATACTCTGCTTAATATTGTTATTGTATTTTATCTGCAATGAGTCAATGCATCGCTCGCTGTATTTGTGCTTTCTTAAATTCATTTTCATAATGTTCACATATATGCCACTTTTGGAATCAAATTTTTCCGTACTTATTGTGAATTTACATTCATTTTTCACTTTTCTTGCCTGTGAGGCATTAAATCTTAGGTTGAGAATTACAGCTGAATTAATTCGATTTAGCTCAATATCATATTTGTTAATTTTCGTAGAGAATAGAGTCGTTAGCTGTCTTTTTTGCATACAAAACATCGATACATTTGGTTCTAGCCATTCCTGTCGAACTAAAAGCAAAGAGAACAAAAATAAATGGAATTGATTAGATCCAGTAAATAAAATCTTGATGACTCATTTAGCTTATTTAAATTCAATATCGTTGAGATTTTATCATTTTATTGTTAATTTGTACTTACAATACTGTTGATGCGATGTTTTTATGATGATTAAAAGTATAAATAAAGGCAGAAATAAAGTGTTTAAATTTCTCATTGCGTAAAAATTGAAATTTTCATCAAAACTGATCCTTATGACCGAATTACTATAATTTTTGGCACTTAAAACAGTCACTACATGTTATTATTAAATTTATTCAGCTTTTGCATTTAAAAAAGTGCTTGAATTAAATTATTTTGAAACAAATGAAATATTTACTTTTGTGATTCTATATTAAGCACAGATTTTTTAGCACTAGGTTTCAGAACTGCACAACCTTCTATGTATTTATTTCTCTTTCTGCTGTTCTGTGAGTTGTTTGTTGCCCTCAGTTTGACTCAGTAAACCAAAGAAAAACAAAACATGTTAAATTATACCAATATTAGTACTGGAACACTTAAACATTCTAGTGTCGTTGATCAATAGTGCACTAATGTATGGAATGAATCAATTTAAGCTATGAATTTTGTTGATTTCTTGTAGAATAATTTATCTTACCTAAGTTTTGTTGATTATTGGCTGTTTAGAAAATGCGCTTGATGCATTGAAACCTAAGTACTGTCGATCTTTTTACTTGTTCTTGTTTGAATTTTTAAAAACCGTTTCTTTTTTTAACGGATTTTTATCCATGAGCAAGTTTAATGATAATTTTTGATGCTGTTGGAACCGAATTATGTACCTTTTTCTGACAATTTTGATTTTATTTCATAAAGACATTAAAATTATAAATTACACATTTAGTTTGGGTATTTATTTGATTGTGCAAATCTTGCTATTAAAAATCTTGTTAAGTATGTTCACTGAGTATTTGAATAATACCCATTGTCATCTGGTGAAGCAAAACGATCCTGTGCATTTATTCTACTGTTCCAATAATTATTGCTGCTATTACTACCACTTTGTCCATTAGGTTTATTTGTTTGTTGCTGATTAGAAAATGCTTGATTTGTCGGAATTTCAGGTAGAATTTTGGATATTGCCTCAATGTCAATTAAATCCTTTGCTATATTTTGAATCTTTTTTGTGTAATTGAAAATCAAACTAATTGTATTAATTAAGTATTCTTCTTGTGTGATCTTCTTTTCAAATCGGGCCTTATAAAGAAGTTGAAATTCGCCAAAAAAGATTTTTATGACATTTATGAGACATTTGTTCATATGTTCGTTATGGGATTTTGCTCCGTAAGACTTTTTAAAACATCCAGGACACTTTATTTCCTCAACTTTCCTTTGATCGATTCTACTTTTTGTTGGTGTCTGTATTTTAATTTTAACATTTTTCTTATCAAAGTTCTCGTACCAATATTTGTCACCTTCAATCTCTTCTATTGTATTATTAATTTCTTGTTGATTTACTGTTGGCGGTTTAGATGTGATGTTAGTTTCCAAAACTATCGACTCATCATTGGCAATTTTTCTTGCTTCCGTTAAATTCTTGGATGTATGAATAATCTCTAATCGAACATTGTATGCATGTTGTAAGTAACTTAAGCAATGAGGGCAAATAAATTGAGGTAACAAATCTGTCTTTTCCACCTGAAAGGAATCATATAACGATTAGATCTATATAAAGGAAGATAATTTATCAAATTGATACCTTTTCTGATGATATATTTTCAATCATTTCTGCTATTGTGACTTGTTGTGCTTTTGCAAGACGTGTTTTAGGTATTGTAAGATACTTATCACAGACATTTGAATAGATATAAATTTGTCCTCTATTTCCACATACTCTACACAGCTTGCTTATCATTAAATCTGTTTCGTTCTTACTGCCTTCATCCTCAAAATCTGGACTTTTATCTCCACTCTCTTCATTTGTACCTTTTGCCTCCTCAAACTCATTATTACAATCTTGTTCCTTATAATACTGCTCTAGAAACGTTTGATAACTTGTTTGAGCTTGATTTTCCATTATTTTTATGTTTTGTTTACTTTTGTCGTGTACTTTTATTAAAGTTTTATATTATTGGCTTATTTCAATGCTCTTTTTAAACAATACAAAATCAATTGTGTACTTGTACTGTGCCTTGTAGGTTTTTTGGACTTTTTGGCTGCTTTAATTTACAAAGCAATGCTCAAAACAAATAAATAATTTTATCACAACAAAAACAAACACGACTTACAAAGAAAGCCATTAAACTTCCACGCTTCTTTTGACTGAACTTTTTTTTAAAACAAAAAGAAAATCCAAAAGGTAAGTTTGAAAACTTTATTCCTTTTTTTATTATAAAAGTTACATATTAATCTTAAGTGTGTGTTAAATGCGGGACGTAAATGGACGTAATTCTGACAAAGTTTCAACTCGATCTGAGAACCTGTTCCGGCTGACTTCATACACACACTTTAGGGTATGATAAGTCCAAAATTTAAGCAGAAAAAAATGCAAAATGAAATTCCGAAGTGCTGTAGACAATATAAATGTGAGCTATGCTTAAGGAGTTAATCTCTGAAGAAATCTTCTAAACAATCGATCAAGTTATTGAACGATATAATTGCTATTTCAGTTTCCTCATCCAATTAAAGACTTTTATTCTTGCTACGCAATTTTAAATACTAAGATTAATGCGAATCAACTTATACTCATAAAAAAAAATTGGCGAAAGTCTAGAATAAAACATATCTTGGTATTATAAATGATAAAGAATGCTAATGTAGATATAAAATCGATATTTTTTTGAAATAGCCTACTACGATCGAAACCAAAAATGCTTTAGATTCCATTTAAAACTTATCTAGGTATTATAAATGATAAAGAATGCTAATGTAGGTATAAAATCGATATTTTTTTGAAATAGCCTACTATGATCGAAATCAAAAATGCTTTAGATTTCATTTTAAAACATACCTAGGTTTTATAAATGATAAAGAATGCTAATGTAGATATAAAATCGATATTTTTTTTGAAAATAGCCAACTACGATCGAAACCAAAAATGCTTTAGATTTCATTTTAAAACATACCTAGGTTTTATAAATGATAAAGAATGCTAATGTAGATATAAAATCGATATTTTTTTGAAAATAGCCAACTATGATCGAAATCAAAAATGCTTTAAATTTCATTTTTAAACTTATCTAGGCATTATAAATGAAAAAGAATGCTAATGTAGATATAAAATCGATATTTTTTTTGAAAATAGCCTACTACGATCGAAACCAAAAATGCTTTAGATTTCATTTTAAAACATACCTAGGTTTTATAAATGATAAAGAATGCTAATGTAGATATAAAATCGATATTTTTTTTGAAAATAGCCTACTACGATTGAAACCATAAATGCTTTAGATTTCATTTTAAAACATATCTAGGTATTATAAATGATAAAGAATGCTAATGTAGGTATAAAATCGATATTTTTTTGAAATAGCCTACTTTGATCGAAATCAAAAATGCTTTAGATTTCATTTTAAAACATATCTAGGTATTATAAATGATAAAGAATGCTAATGTAGGTATAAAATCGATATTTTTTTGAAAATAGCCTACTATGATCGAAACCGAAAATGCTTTAGATTTCATTTAAAAACATATCTAGGTATTATATATGATAAAGAATGCTAATGAAGATATAAAATCGATATTTTTTTTGAAAATAGCCAACTATGATTGAAACCATAAATGCTTTAGATTTCATTTTAAAACATATCTAGGTATTATAAATGATAAAGAATGCTAATGTAGGTATAAAATCGATATTTTTTTGAAATAGCCTACTTTGATCGAAATCAAAAATGCTTTAGATTTCATTTTAAAACATATCTAGGTATTATAAATGATAAAGAACGCTAATGTTGATATAAAATCGATATTTTTTTGAAAATAGCCTACTATGATCGAAACCGAAAATGCTTTAGATTTCATTTAAAAACATATCTAGGTATTAAGGTGCGCGACATTCGTTTAACCGCACCATAATTTCTTCAATTTTCACTTTTATAAACACTTTAAGGATGGCAACTATTTATTATTTTTAAAGCTGTTTCCAAGTATGTTTAAAATTAGTAAAGAGAAGTCAGCTAAATGTTGTGCCTTGTTAAATTAATTAATTTTTTTATAAATTACAACAACAAAGTGCGAAGTTCGTTTAGCCGCACTTTGAAAATATTAAAATTTTGAGCTGTAAACGTTATTTATTGTACTTATTCTATTCTTAAAGTATTTAAGCAACAAAAATCTATGTTTGCAGACAGTTCCAGAATTTTCCATTAAGTTTTTCACGAGATTTTCCTTCATTTATTTTGTCATACTGAAAATATCTTCAAAATTAATTTTTGCTGTTATTTTTCATGAAACTGTAATTGTTTTGTCTAAATTAGGTAGAAAATGGTTTAAAGTATTAAATGAATCACAAATGTCTTCATCTTTAATTGGTTTTAGGACAAAAATTTGAGAAAAATATGTTTGAGGTGAAAATTTTTCACCACTTTGTTATAATCATTAATAATTTTTGACAAAACTGCACATATCATATAGAATTTGAATAGCCTACCGTATTTATCATATTAAACTTGACATAAAACAGAAAACTGCATAGTTCTACGACCAATAGAACTTGAAAATTTTATGAAAGATTTAGGTTGTGGTGAAAAATTTCCACATAGAAAATATAAATTCCAAAAAAACTTCATTCATTAATGTTTTTAATGATCATTTTTAATTTTTCTTCTTAAGAAAACACTGTTTTAACTTTATTGAAATGAAACAATAGCTTAATACAGGTTTTTTTTTGAAATTTATATTTTCTATGTGGAAATTTTTCACCACAACCTAAATCTTTCATAAAATTTTCAAGTTCTATTGGTCATAGAACTATGCAGTTTTCTGTTTTATGTCAAGTTTAATATGATAAATACGGTAGGCTATTCAAATTCTATATGATATGTGCAGTTTTGTCAAAAATTATTAATGATTATAACAAAGTGGTGAAAAATTTTCACCTCAAACATATTTTTCTCAAATTTTTGTCCTAAAACCAATTAAAGATGAAGACATTTGTGATTCATTTAATACTTTAAACCATTTTCTACCTAATTTAGACAAAACAATTACAGTTTCATGAAAAATAACAGCAAAAATTAATTTTGAAGATATTTTCAGTATGACAAAATAAATGAAGGAAAATCTCGTGAAAAACTTAATGGAAAATTCTGGAACTGTCTGCAAACATAGATTTTTGTTGCTTAAATACTTTAAGAATAGAATAAGTACAATAAATAACGTTTACAGCTCAAAATTTTAATATTTTCAAAGTGCGGCTAAACGAACTTCGCACTTTGTTGTTGTAATTTATAAAAAAATTAATTAATTTAACAAGGCACAACATTTAGCTGACTTCTCTTTACTAATTTTAAACATACTTGGAAACAGCTTTAAAAATAATAAATAGTTGCCATCCTTAAAGTGTTTATAAAAGTGAAAATTGAAGAAATTATGGTGCGGTTAAACGAATGTCGCGCACCTTATATATGATAAAGAATGCTAATGAAGATATAAAATCGATATTTTTTTTGAAAATAGCCTACTATGATCGAAACCAAAAATGCTTTAAATTGCATTTTAAAACATATCTAGATATTATAAATAATAAAGAATGCTAATAAAGATATAAAATCAATATTTTTTTTGAAAATAGCCTACTACGATCGAAACCAAAAATGCTTTTGATTTCATTTTTAAACATATCTAGGCATTATAAATGATAAAGAATGCTAATGAAGATATAAAATCGATATTTTTTTTGAAAATAGCCTACTACGATCGAAACCAAAAATGCTTTAGATTCCATTTTAAAACTTATCTAGGTATTATAAATGATAAAGAATAATAATGAAGATATAAAATCAAAAGTTTTTTGAAAACAGCCTACTGTGATCGAAACCAAAAATGCTTTAGATTCCATTTTAAAACTTATCTAGGTATTATAAATGATAAAGAATGCTAATGTAGATATAAAATCTATATTTTTTTTTTGAAAATAGCCAAATATGATCGAAATCAAAAATGCTTTAAATTGCATTTTAAAACAAATCTAGGTATTGTAAATGATAAAGAATGCTAATGAAGATATAAAATCGATATTTTTTTTGAAAATAGCCTACTACGATCGAAACCAAAAATGCTTTAGATTCCATTTTAAAACTTATCTAGGTATTATAAATGAAAAAGAATAATAATGAAGATATAAAATCAAAAGTTTTTTGAAAACAGCCTACTGTGATCGAATCCAAAAATGCTTTAGATTCCATTTTAAAACTTATCTAGGTATTATAAATGATAAAGAATGCTAATGAAGATATAAAATCGATATTTTTTTTGAAAATAGCCAACTATGATTGAAACCAAAAATGCTTTAGATTTCATTTTAAAACTTATCTAGGTATTATAAATGATAAAGAATGCTAATAAAGATATAAAATCGATATTTTTTTTGAAAATAGCCTACTACGATCGAAACCAAAAATGCTTTTGATTTCATTTTTTAACATATCTAGGCATTATAAATGATAAAGAATGCTAATGAAGATATAAAATCGATATTTTTTTTGAAAATAGCCTACTACGATCGAAACCAAAAATGCTTTAGATTCCATTTTAAAACTTATCTAGGTATTATAAATGATAAAGAATAATAATGAAGATATAAAATCAAAAGTTTTTTGAAAACAGCCTACTGTGATCGAAACCAAAAATGCTTTAGATTCCATTTTAAAACTTATCTAGGTATTATAAATGATAAAGAATGCTAATGAAGATATAAAATCGATATTTTTTTTTGAAAATAGCCAACTATGATTGAAACCAAAAATGCTTTAGATTTCATTTTAAAACATATCAAGGTATTATAAATGAAAAAGGATGCTAATGTAGATATAAAATCGATATTTTTTTAAAAATAGGCTACTACGATCGAAACCAAAAATGCTTTAAATTGCATTTTAAAACATATCTAGATATTATAAATAATAAAGAATGCTAATAAAGATATAAAATCGATATTTTTTTTGAAAATAGCCTACTACGATCGAAACCAAAAATGCTTTTGATTTCATTTTAAAACATATCTAGATATTATAAATAATAAAGAATGCTAATAAAGATATAAAATCTATATTTTTTTTGAAAATAGCCAAATATGATCGA